TTAGGGTTTAGCGTTTAGGGTTGAGAAAGAGGCTGGTACGCTGTACGATGCTGTAAGTTGAAAGCTGTAATTAGCGGTCTCGCGGAAGCCGAGACATCGGGTAACAAAGCTACTTTTGTAAAAGAAAACGTCTGAGCTTAGTCAGGGCCTAACCTCTAAGCACTAACCCTAAACCGTAAACCCTAAANNCCTAAACCCTCAACCTCGAAGCATCCAAGGTTGTCGAGCCTTGTTGTAGTTCAAGGACAGCAGAGACGGATTCAGGCCTCCAGTCGGCGACTGGAAGGATGACCCCAAACCCTGAAACCCAAAGACCCCAAACCCGAAAACCCTAAAACCCGAAAACCATAAAACCCAAACCCTAAACCCCAAACCCTGAAACCTAAAGACCCTAAATCCCTAAACCCTAAACCCTAAACCCTAAACCCCAAATGTTTAGGGCTGTAAGGGCTTTAGGATGTCGGAACGGGCTTGGGCTTTAGGGTTTGGGGTTTAGGGATTAGGGTTACGGGTTTGGAATTTTCCTAAACCTTAATTTTGGGTTTAGGGTGTGGAGGGATTAGGGGTTTAGGGAACCCTAAACCGTAAACCCTCTTCTGAGGGGTCTCTTTTTGGGCTTGACAGGAAGTTATCAGGAGGCCATCCGGTTTCCTTGTTGCGGCCATTTCGGGGGGGGGACGGAGGTTATAGGGCGGAGAGGCTTGAGGATTGGGGTATAATGTATAGGTTAGGGGTTTAGAGTTCAGGATTTGGGTTTAGGGTTTAGGGTTTAGGGTTTGGGGTCTAAGGAGGGTTTTGAGTTTGGGACTGGGAGGGGCGCAAGTCAGAAGCAAAAGCACTCAGCCGGTCGCACACGCAGGCAAATCATGGAGCGTCTGAACCCGAAACCCTAAACTCTAAACTCTAAACACTATACCCTAAACCCTAAACCCTAAACCCTAAACCCTAAACCCTAAACCCTAAACCTTAAACTCTAAACCCTAAACCCTAAACCATAAAGGGTTGGCTCTAGGGCCTCAATGCATAGAACAAGCAGTAGAGCATGGTTCCCTGTTAGCGAACCCGAAGGAATAGCATTACTAGTCGCTCCAGCTTCTAAACTAGGGTGTAGTGTAGGGGCTGTTTACGGTTCAGGGCTTGGAATTGGGGACGGAGTTCACACCGTTTTGGGGCCGAACATGGGCTGTGTTATCAAAGCCCGCAGAGAAAGAGCCAGCCAAGACTAAACTACGCCCGAATTCCAACGCCTACACTCCGAAAACACCCTAAACCCTAAACTCTAAACCGCAAGCCATAAACCCAAAGCCCTAAGCCCTAAACCCCAAACCCTAAACCCCAAGCCCAAAGCCCTAAGCCCTAAACCCGAAACCGCAAGCCCCAAACCTTAAGCTCTAAACCCTAAACCCTCAACCCCAAACCCTAAGCCCTAAACCCTAAACCCCCAAACCCAGAGCCCTGAGCCCTAAACCCAAAGCCCTGAGCCCTGAACCCTAAACCCTAAACCCCAAGCCAAAGCCCTAAGCCCTAAACCGCAAGCCCCAAAGCCCTGAATCAAAAGGAACAAACCCTAAGCCCTAAACCCTAAACCCTAAACCCTAAATCAAAAGGAGCAAACAGCCCTGGCCTTGGCCAGCCACAAGGAGTCCGTCCTCCGCGACCTGACATGGCCCGGTCAGGCGGCTTTGTCCCAAGGGGTTTGGGGTTTAGGGTTTA